ACACTCACACACACACACTCACACACACTCACACCCACCCACACACACACACACACACACACACACACACACATACACGCATACGCACGCACGCACACACACGCACGCACATACATGCATACGCACACACACGTTCGTTAGATGCTCTAGTCTTCAGCGTTAGGTGCCGTAAGAAGTACATTATTGTTTGGGTGTAGAATTTATTTTAACCTAAGTCAAACAAAGTACCAAAAATTGTCCAATCCCTGCAGATGGACATCTGATTAAAACATTCTCACTGACAGAACCTAGCCAGATGGGTGAGCAGCCACAAAAAACGAGATTAAAACTACCCGCGTTAAAAATGAATACCAATTCGGTAGTGCAAACTGACAAGATTCTTCTGTACAACTGTTTAGCGGGAGGCCAACTTCATCAAAAGTGCTGGCAGTTTAATTCATTTTGGCAAGTAAGAGTTTTACGCAACTCGTAACACAGTCAGGTCGTATAATTACCGAAGATTAGAAGTGTTACTAGAATACAAAATACAAACAAAAGAAGTGGGAGAGATAAGGACTATAGATCTCTGATAGGAAATAAGTAACCAATCACACCTGAGCATCCGCCAACCATCTGCGTTTTAACTCCAGTTGAAACTTGTTATACGTAATTGTTTGTAAACTACTACAAGTTAACCGTTTAAATGTTCATGAAGTTTTACGCGCTAATTTTTTTGCAGGCAGTAATAGGGAATTAGCTTCCTACAGATGAAAGTTGTTATACTAATGAGATAGCGTCGTAGGATGGTTTATTTTAGTAAAGAGAACCTCATTGACACAATAATGGCCACTGAGAGCTAGAAAAGGCAAGACTAATAGTCAGAAACAACAGAAGGAGAGTCAAGATATAGGACATACCAGCAGCCATCTTCAACTGGCCGCTGTAAAAACAAAGGCAAAAAAAGCGAATGTCAAGGGAGAGGGGGGGGGGAAGGATGAAGGAAGAAAGAAAAAGTGAGAGAGACAGAGAGAGAGAGGGGGGGAGGGAAGAGAGAAAGATACAGAGCAAAAGAGAGAAAGAGAACGAGAGTGGGAGAGAGAGAGAGAGAGAGAGAGAGAGAGAGAGAGAGAGAGAGGGAGGGAGAGTGGAGAAAGTGAGATGATACACAGAGAGAGAGAGTAAGAGAACGAGCGAGCGAGAGGGAGAGAGAGAGGGGGGAGAGAGTGTGAGAGAGAGGGTCGGGGGAGACGGAGGGAGGGAGGGATAAATAACGAAAAAGAGAAAACGTAGTAATGGAAATATAAGGACCAAAAACCTCCAGTGCATACGTGGAGGAGTCGCTGACTTACCCACCCCCCGTGGTCCTGTACCCGAGGACCAACCGCTGACGTCACCAGCTCCTTGCAGTAGGACACGAGATGGCGGAAGTTGTTAGAGTTACTCACGCATGCGCGTTCCGTGAGATCGAGGCAAAAGTAAAACATAACAATGATATCTTCCTCCAAGTTCTTCGAGTCAGACATCATAGAGAAGAGTAAGTCTGCAAGTTCGGACAGTGAGAAATCATCTCTTACCTGAAAAGGACAACCAACTGGAAATATAGTTGAATTAGACCTGCAATGTTTTGTTTTTGTACACATAATATAATTCCCATGCAATCACAAAAGTATGTCTTCATTTCTTAAAGCTGGGTGAGGGGTGGGGGGGGGGGGCTTCGGTCCACTATCACAACCCTGGACGCAGACGAAGAAAATGAGTAATATAAAATGAATAATTTTCGAACAAAGTTATTTCGTTTGTCTCCAAGTCATTAACTTGCATGTGTTGATCACTCTCCTGTGCTTGAGAACATGATCTTGAAAATGATAAAGTACACATGTAGGTAAACTTTGATAGACGAACCTAAACATTCACTAGCTGACAGAAAAAAAAATGAAACAAAGGACAGCAACAAAGAGAAAGCATCGGGTGATGAGGTATAATCTGTCAACTTAAAATTTGAACGTGTGATTATTATTTTTTTCGTAATCCGCTTTTGATCGAAATAAAGAACTTAATACAAAAAGTGTTAACACAGGGGGG